TTTTCCTTCACAGATGCTGCCAGACCTGCTGAGCTTCCAGCAACTTCTATTTTTGCTCCTGATTTACAGCATCCACAGTTCTTTCAGTTTTTATTTAAGCAACAGATGTAAAACTATTTAGGCATTAATACGTTGAAGGAAGAAAATATCAGAGGCATTTATTCTTCGAATTACAGAAAATATGAATTTCTCAGAACTGAAGAATGAGAACAAACAGGTGTCTCAGAACGAGAAACACAAAGGAAATAGTGTACACAACATACTACAAAAGGAAATACTATCAAAACACAAAAGAGAAAGATGAGGAATGGATGATGAGTGAGATGTTAGCAAAGATGTTACAGGAAAGACACACAGTCAAGTAAGATGAAATTCAAAATGAACGATGCATAAAGAGAAATTGTCTAATGTAATGTGGAAGAATTAGAGCCGGAAATAAATCTCAAAAAGTTACAATGTTAAAAAATATTAAAAGTAAAATTTTAATAGACAGAAATGATAACAAATACTGGGAGCACACAAGGCAAAGGTGATAAAATAATGAGGTTGTTGGCTTGCTCACCGAGCTGGCCGGTTATCATACAGACGTTTCGTCACCATGCTAGGTAACATTATTAGTGCGGCCTCTGATGAAGCGGTGTTGTTCTACTTCACTTGGTATTCATATGATCCGATCTGTTAAGTTGAGTGTGCCATTTCTGGCTCTGTTCTGCGTAGGTTTGTATATGGGGTCTAATTCCACATATTTGTTGATTGCACTACGGGCTCAAAACCAGGCCTCTAGGAATTACGGTGCATGTCTGTGGTTACCTAGCTTGACGATGAAACATCTGTACAATAACCAGCCAGCTCGGCAAGCAAGCCAACAACCTCACCCACAATCCCAGCTATAAATCTTCCCAAGAACCTTAATATTAAAGTAATGTTTGAAAGGGATATAGTAGCTAAAAGACAGAACATACAAGAGCATACGACGATCAACAAAGAGCAAGTTCTCCAAAGTTTTTTGTTTTATTCATTCGCGGGCTAGCAGCATTAATAGCTGAGCCAGTACTGATAGACCTAATTGCCCTTAAACAGCTGGTGGTGAACTATCTTCTTGAACTGCTGAAGTCCTCCCATTCACAAGGGACCATCTCCATTCTCCAACTAGAGCCCTTCTCCCGCTCAGATTTTGATTGACACGTTCCAACACCGCGCACGCGCTGTTCCGTTCGTGGGTGGGTCCTCAATGAGCGGCGCCTGGTGAGGGCCCCTGCACGGTCACGTGCTGGAAGCAGCGCGAGATGTCGCTGTTGTTGTTGTGGCTGAGGCCGGCCTCGCGCTGCCGCCTGGCCGAGCTCGCGGCGCTGCGGGTAACGGCTGCTCGCTATGTCTCCGTGCCGGCCGCTGTGGGCATCAGGTGTAGCAGCGGCTTGTCGGCGGCTGGCCTGGTCGGATCGGCGCCGTCGGCGGTGCAGCCTTACCTGAAACTGATGCGACTGGACAAACCAATCGGTAAATCCATTGGAATGTTTCGTCGGCTCGGTGTCTTTGGAGATGGAGAGGTGGGGGCGGGAGGCTGCAAGTTGTCAGCAGAGACTGCTCGCCTGTCACAGCTCGGGCTGGGCTGGATCGGATCTTGGGACTGGCACCTGTCAGTCAGAGACTCTGAGCTGATCTCAGAGAGTACAGGATGTCGTTTTCAAATTCCTTGGGGAAAGAAACATCCTTAGTATGTGTAAGAGCAACTTTTGTCAAGTCATTCATACCCCTTTTAGCATACATGGTGCTAGTAATATCCAGTTTTTTTTAGCTTTAGCTGTCTGAGTTAGCAGCCATGATCCTATTGAATGGCGGGATAGGTTTGAACGGCCGAACGGCCTACTCCTGTTTCTTATGGTCAATATTGCTGAGGATATAAAATCTTGCAGAACTGGACAAAATGTTTTCAAAGGTACGAAATATACATATAGACTGTCAGCACCTGTCAAGAGAGGACAGTGGATTAATTTTGGGCATATAACCTTTAATCAAAGGATCTTTCCTGGCAGACAAACAGGAGGCTGGAAGAAAGGAGAAGTCAATGTTTTGGGTATTACCCTTAAAGCCTGAATGTGGAGGTAGGAGGAGCTGCAGATAAAGGGGGAGGGGGTGGCACAATGGCAGTTAAGTGGACACTAGTAGATGGCGAATACCAGTGTCCACTGATCACCACCATTCTGCTACTCTCCCCTGTGATCTGAAGCTCCCCTACCCCCGCATTGGGAAGAAGGGTAATATCCGAAATGTTGATTTCTCCTTTCCTCCAGATGCTGCCTGGTTTGCTGTGTTCTTCCAGCCTCCTGTTTGTCTACCTTGGATTCCAGCATCTGCAGTTTTCTTGTCTCTATCTTTCCTGGTAATTTAATTCATTATTTTAGAGGTAATTGTAGAATTCTGTGTATTCAGAATAGTCTTGAGGCTGCTGGTTTACATTTGCATTTCTTATATTTTTGCTTTTTTTTCCAGTCCTAGCCTGACACGGTAGTGGTACATTGAAATGTTACATCTATTATAATTTGATGTTTCAGGCACCTGGTTGTTGTATTTACCTTGCACCTGGAGTATCAGTTTAGCAGCAGAACCAGGTTGTTTTCCAGATCTGCCCATGCTTGCACTTTTTGGAACAGGGGCATTACTGATGCGAGGAGCTGGTTGCACAATCAATGATATGTGGGATAAAGACATTGACAGAAAGGTAACATTCACTTCTGGAATATATTCCTGTGTTAACTGTTCACTTGTATAGAAGACAATCAGTTGGTCTTAACAAGGATACTCTTCTATTAAGTGTTGGTTCCTCATTTTTGATGCTACCAATGTTGGTCTTAACAATATTTCCATTTAAATTAATCAATGCAAATATAACCATCTGCACTCTTGAAAGATCTTGGGAATTGCATTGACTGACTCTTAGCTTGTCACTCTCATTCTACCCTTTGTAAACTTGATGTTATGCTAAACTGTGCTGCCCATGTCTTATCTTGGCCTAAATTCCTTTCCCCAGTCGATTCTGTATTTATTAACATACATTGGCCACTAGTCAAACAACATCTGGAGTTGAAAGTTCTCATCCTTGTTTCAGATTCCTTCTTGCTCTAGTCTCTTCCCTATTTCCGTAATCTCCTCCAACTCCTTCTGAGATTTGCATTCTCTAATTCTGGGATCTTGAAGATCCCAGATTTCAGTCATTTCACTACTGGTTGCCACACCTTTAATTGTTTTGAAACTTAATTCTGGAATATTCTCCCTCTCTGCCTCTTCACCTTGTTTTCCTCGTTTTGACACTTCCTCACTTTTAAAAGCCTACCTCTTTGATTAAGCATTTTGCCATCCGACCTAATATCTCCTTAGCTGCTTTATGTCTGATTTGTTTACAATGCTACTGTATGACACCTTGAGATGTTTTATTGGGTTATAGGTGCTGAATACATATAAGATGTTGTTGATATTGTAAACAAACAAAACCTTGTTTCTATATTATGTCTTTTAACCATATTGAACATTGGAAGATAGTAGGAATACTGAGGACAGACATTTCCCAAAAATAGCTGATCCCAACCAGTCCCACCACTTCTGCTTTTAAGGTAGTTGGGATGAGGGACGAGTGAACAACCTGTTCAAGGAATGCCCATTGAATATTTAAATCAGGGCTAACTTATAAGCACACATTTTACCCTGTGTGTACCCAGAGTTGACAATATTGAGATATTTTTAAACCAAAAGTAAACATGATAATGTGGACGTAATAAGACGTACGAAACTCAAGCATGATATAAGTAAGGACTGAAGTACTAGATCTGAAAATATTTACTGAATCGGAAAAACAAAATATGCAAATAATGCTAAAAAAGGGACACTTTTCACATTGCACTCATCAGGACAATTTGCAAGAAATTCCAACATAATAGGAAAATAACCTACCTCAATTGTGTGAAATAGACACTGAAATTGCAAACTCAGCAGCTCTCTTAAGAGCTGGCTTCATCTGCATTCAAAATCACCAAGAAATACAGCGGTGAAATGAGCTCCCTTTCTTTGACGCCTAGTTGAGATATCAGTCAGGGGTTCTCTACTACTGTCCATCACAAGGCTACCTTCACTGATCACTTTGTGAATTTGGATTCCTACAGTTGCATGTGCAATAAGATTGGCCTTATCAGCAATTTTGTAAGTAGGGCCAAGCCATTTAGTCACTGTGCATGTTTGATGCTGAAATAGGGCACATCAAATCTATCCTGTTGGACGATGGCTATGTAAACCAGATCTTTTCTGAAGTATATTGTGCAAATGCATGAATGAGGTCAGACTTTTTGTCCTGAAAAGTTTTCTGACCACCTCAGATTAAAAGTATGATGTCTCAACAGGTGAAGCTGTTTCATATTGCTACTATACAGTAGCACATGAGGGGTTTACCACTAACAGAATGCTGATAACAAGTCATAAAGATGTTGCTGCTATCACACAAATGAACAATGTACACAAAAACAGAAATCCTGGAAAAACTCAGCAGGTCTGACAGCATTTGTGAAGAGCAAACAGAATTAACATTTCCGGTCCAGTGACCCTTCAGAACTGATTGTAGTTGGGTGATATATATGCTAAAGAAAGGTTGGGGGGAGGGGGAAGGAGTAAATGATAGGTGGGGATGAAACCCAGAAAGAGAGAGAACCGGTTGGGTAGACATAAGAATGGTAAAGGTCAGCCAGGAGAATGTGTAGTTGCTAATGAAGACCATTAGTGGCTGATGATGGGTTATTTTGAGAGCAGCCCATGTGATGATAAGGCCTGGTGTCAGCTACAATCAGTTTTGAAGAAGAGTTACTGGACCGAAATGCTTGCTTTCCACAGATGCTGCCAGACATGAGTTTTTACAGCAATTTCTGTTTTTGTTTCTGTTTCCAGCATCTGCAATTCTTTCTTTTTTTTTGCGTAATAAATTTTGGTATATGAATTTTACTGCCACCATATACATAGGCCACGTATCCCAAAAACTAGTGGATTGTTTCAAATAGCATATCCCTTTAGCTATTCACAACAAGCAAGGCATTGACCATACCAAACTAACTTGTGCTTGTAAAACTCATTCTTGGACAACTCAGACAACATTTCCTGAATAATCCCAGGTTTGCTAAGAATTGCCCTAGGAGGCAGTGTAGGATTGCCAGTCAGGCCTGTGGTAATATGCACTTTCCTATACTGGAAGCTGCATATATTAATACATAGACCTTACTCTTTCCACATAGAACATACGCATATATTCTGCCAGTTTCAACTCAAT